TATTCTATATAACAACGCAGCATTATACTTCTAATACTCACATAAAATTTGATCATCACAAATTTTCTTTTCAATCAAAGGTTTCCTGAATTAATAAAAAAATTGTTAGATTTTGTAATATTCAATATAAATTTATAGAACGCAAAATTACTAAAATAAGCAGGGCCGGTCCATTTTAACTGTTTTAACATTTATCATTAAAATTATATAAATATTTACGCAAATTTTTTAAATTGATTTTTAATCATTCTGGATTTAGTACCCAAAAAATTCGATATAATCTAAATGCGTATAAAGTACATTGATTTTAATTTTATTTAGAAAATGGAAGCGATTTGTGGGTTGACCATAATAAAAATTTTACATTTTCAAGTATTTCTAACATATGTGTAATATTAATATTTGGGTTTCGAAACATTTTACTTATTTCATTTAAACATAACACTCGTTTTCATGTTGGACTTTTAAAATTTTTTTTTCACTATTTACAATATCCAAAATTGCATCGTAAACTTCTCCTTATTGATATCGTAAGGGTCGAATTGTATTCATGTTTTCTTTCCCATCTGATTCAGAATATCAGATTGTTGTTTTAAAGTTAAATTTTAAAAAAATTTAAAAATGCAAAAAAATTACATATTTCCTGAACTATATTGAAAACAAAACACAATTATATTTGTATCTGTATTATTTCTGCTTAGTTAATAATTAAATTTAGTATGGACTTTAGTATTGTGTAAGCTCACAATTTTTGTTTCTATGTACACTTTGCTTTCATTTTTCATGTTTGCTCCATTTCCATAAACCTAAAAACGCATGTTTTCAACGTTCAAAAAACTGAAGCAAAAACAGAAGTTACTGTTCAGTTTCTCGGTTTTAATAAGCCATTTTCTAAGCACTGACTTCAATTTACCATTTTTCTCTATTATAATTTATATTTTTTTAACAAGTTCCGTTCCAACTAAATCAGCTCGCAATTTTTTGTCAATAATGCCCAATAATTTAAACTTTCGCAGGTTTCCAAACGGGATTGAACACTAGATAATTTCTTTTTCGATTCCACAATAACTTCAAATGAAGAAAAATTTAATAAGTACATTAAACAATAAGCAGAACAATAATTTACTAATTTGCAGAGTAATTAATTGTTTCTAGTAATATCACATTGCAAACGGAATATGCTTTTTGTGTCTCCGTATCCATAGTTAAGTTAGATTTATTATTGAAATCTATTAAGTGTTCTTGATTGTATATTTAAAAAAATTATATAAATAATATATTATAAATTTCATTTCTGAATCTCGTTTTGGCGCCCCCTAAGGCGTGCGCTCGCATTTTTGCATGCATCGCATGCAAGGCAGGACCAGCCTTGAAAATAACATACAAAATCAAGATTAAATTAGTTTTATTTCAAAGCTTTAGATCATTAGAATTTGTTCCTTAGTCAGTGAAGGGTTAAAAAGAATATTCTATTACCCGAGCAATATATTAAAAAAGTAGCTGAGCAGCTTTAATGTATTTCGATATTAATTTAATGCAGCAAATACAGAACAGAAGTATAATAATTCAAATGTGACACTTTAAACATTATTATTATTAATTTCCCGAAAAAGTTTATGTTTTCATCAAAAAATCTGATTCGCTAATTTTATGTTGTCTCAACGATTCAAGCCATTCTGAATCGAATGTGACTAGATTTGGAAAAGGTATGTGAGCGTGTGTGTATGTGTGTGGAAACAGATTTTTCACTATAAATAGACGTTTTCTCGAAAACGGCTAGACCGATCTCAAAAATTTAAAAACCATTAAATAAATAAATTATAGCAGCGTTTTTACGTTTGTTAAAATATAGTCGAGATTATATTTGATATCTATAACCAAAAATTGTTCATAACATACTGCTTGATATCAAGCTAGCAGAGGTTGGGATTCCTGGACCATGTTCTTAACGATGGGCTCTATTGTTGCAAATAAGATGTGAAATTATAATGATACAAATGGATCTCTTATCAAATACAGAATAATATGCAAAAGCTTTATTACTTCGACAAACCCTGCGATAAATTCAATAAGAACTTATTTAAGTCAATAATTGAGGTTAAATATTGCATTGTGTTGTTTTAACACAATTCTCATAAGCAGGATTTATAATTTGGCAAGGCACACTTCGTGGAATTAATGATGTTTCTTATGTGTTTACTTAATAGTGGTCTATTTAAATATAGAACAATGCTATGTGTTCTTGGAAGAGGATACCTCATAAAATAGAAGAGACATGTCATAGGAAATTTTGAAATTGTTTTAAAAGATTCGAATAGAATTAATTGAATTCCTGTAATTCCTATAATTTGTAGTCTATAGTATGAGGCACACCTTAGATTTTTTCTTGGGCGGTGAAAGACATAAATTTGTGATCAAGAGCAAAAATATACTTAAGATCTGAGGGCATACTTTTACCAATGATTTTTTAAGCCATTTATATGTAAGATTTTCTTTGAATATATAAAATAAAATGGTATTATATTTTTCAAAAGTTTTTCAAATTTATTATCATATAGATTGTTCAATTAAAAAACTTAAGTTAAAACTATTTTTATTCTTTTATTTAAAAAAAATCAATATAAACGGTTCCAAAATATTGGTTAAAATATTTACTAGATGGTTAATTCTAGAAAAGAAGTGAGAAAAAGGCTTTCTTGAATTTCGACACATTGCTTGTTAAGCAATTATTTAATATTTTCATTTTTCATATATACAAATATAAATATAAACATATTCGTAAAGCATGCAGTTTCCCATGAATTTTTGAAGTTTATTTCTGATAAAAATATTTATTATAATTCTGTCGTATAAGATAAACTAATAATATACAAATATAGCTCTGATCGTTTTTTATATAGATGTGTTTATATTAATATTTCTGTTAATAAAATTGATATTTACATAAACATAAGTTTAGTAGTATTCTCGCCATTTTATATCCTCATAAAATATTAAATAATTGACAATTTGCCGAGTACAAAAATAAGTTTGTACTCATTCTTAGTATAATTTTATTTAATATGATTTGCTATATGCAATCTTATAGGCTTTATAATATTCTGATAATTTTAAAGTTTCGGTAATTGATCCATGTAAAATTCTAATCAATATATGTACACGATTTTAATGAACAACTTGAAAAAAATATACATAAATTTACTAACTATAGTGGATGAAATAAGTATAATAATTACTTTAATTGTCTGTATATCAAGTGATGAATGTTTAGTATATTAATAATAAACTGTACTGTTGTACAGTATAACTTCTTAAGTGTTATTTAAATAATAATTATAATTATTTTAATTATAATATATATTTCGTATATCTCAGTCATTAGTAATATAGCTATATCAACATTTTTATATCATTCAATCAAATTTTCTAATATATATATTTTCTAATATTCTACTACGCATGTTTCTTTTCTGTTATTCATACGTATTAGGGGCCAATTCACCGATAAAATTGTAATGTTATGATAATACTATGTTATGGGTTTATCTCTATATAAATGGGTAGTAACAAACTGTCAAAAATCAATGTATTAGCTGTGAGATCAAGCGTTTTGCCTCTTAATTTGCATTATTCAATTTTAAATTTTTTTTGTAGGTTATTTGATTTGTATTGGACTCCTTTTGTTTAGTTAAAATAAGCAAGACTGTGAGTTATTTTTATGGCTTTATTTATCATTGTCTTATTGTAGTTCATATTTTTAACTTTCCGAAGGGTAAGTTATAGTTATGAGCCGAAATTCAAAAATGAAAATTTTTGCATTTCTTCACGTTTCGAATGTTTCTCATACAGTTACACTCATTTTGGCATACCTCAGAAAATATGGATGTGTGTGTGTATTTTGTATGTCAATCGATTTGAATTGTTTGAAAAACATTCGATTCCTATTGATAGGAAAGATGTGCTGATTAGTTTTTGGCAAAAGCGGGTCCAGCCGTTAAGGAGATACCGAGCGAAATTTGCAAAAAAATAGCAGTTTTTGAGAAAACTAAGCATTCGATTTGAATGATTTGAAAAACTTTCTGCGTGTGTTGACGAAACAATTGCTTTTGGAAAAAAAATTCCAAATTTTTTTTATTTTTGAATATCGAAAATAATTCGGATTTTACTTTGAATTCTGGCTAAAATTCTAAAGCTCACTTATATACTTGAAATAAATAATTTTAACTTTGTAATTCAGTTTATATATTTCTTATAAATATTAGACAATATCCTTCATTTTATATTTGATTGATTGAGTTTTGTTTCTTTTCTTTTCTGCAAACATATATAAGTTACAGTATTCATAATAATATATTTGAAAATATTAAATTTTTCTCAGAAAGTTTCATCAATTTGCTTAAAGCACGATGTCATACACCACTAGTTTTATAATTTGATTGCATGTTTGGCGTTATGTGCTTTTTTAGTACAAAAATCTAGTTTTTTTTGATAAATTATATATAAATGTTTGAATTTTTTTCATTGCATTAATGTAGGATATACTAAATATAATTACGTACATGGTTTTCTACCGTAAGGGTAATTATTTCCAAATTTTTCCAATTTCAATGAACGAATATAATTAAAAATAATAAGATCTATATGTAACAAAAAAGAAAAACTATCAGCAGTTTTCCGAAAAATGGTATATTCGTATTTTTTTAAAAAATCCATGATAAGATAATCAACAACGTATAAAGAAAAAAAAATTGCAAGACAATACATAGTCATAGACAATACTTGTTTGATACAGAGTTATATCCAAAATATATTTTTGCCGCTATGGGTTGATCAGGCAATAGATTGCTATGGCGTAAATAAATTATAATTTCCACATTATTCTTTATCCTAGGTGGAGTATTCGACAAGGGCAGCGATGACCTGCAAACCGTCTTCAGATTGGCTGCAGCCGACGTGAATTCGGTGAGGAAGACATTGCCGCGGCACAAACTTCGAACGCAGATTGTGGAAGTGCCGCCGCAAGATGACCTCTCTGCAGCGTTGGGAGTTTGCCAAATGATGAAGGTTTGGCCAACGAATCTTGTATTTTTTTAGAAAATAAAGAACGTAGGAATATAAAAGAAACATAATAAAAAATAATAAAAGGTGCGGTTAAGTTTAAACCGTTTTCATGAGTGTACTACATAAGCATTCGAACTGAGCTTCAATAACTTGAGTATAATAAAAATTTGTGACGAAATTGAGTGGCCAACTTTTTATAGCTCTTACGAGATCTGCCTAATTTACATCTCGCTAATGCAGTCTTATTAATAAGCGGACGATGTATATACGTATAATATATAATATTATATTAATTATATAGATCAAAATGTGATTCCAATTGAAAATTAGCCTATCTCGGGCACTGCGGTGGGAAATAGATTAAATTAAAATGGAAATGGAAAAAAAATTTCACACTACTTCTTCCCTAAATTGCGTTGGAGTTTAACTCAGCTCACGAACCTGCCTTTGAGCAGTACTACCTATTATTATATTAACTTCATTTAAACAATATTATATTAACCACATTTGGCCAATATTATATTGTATTAATTACACCTACTCCCTGCTTATATTTTCACTGTACTTGTTTCACACATTTTCGATCTTCCGCGGTTTTTGAGAAAAACTTTTTTTAACGAAATTTATTATTTTGCATTTACACAAAACTATAAACTCTAAACTATAATTTACATATATCTGCAATAACCGTTTCATTGTTATATTGTGAAAATACAATACATACTGCAAATTGTATGTAACAGTTACAAACTGTTGGTGCATATTTTATGCCTATAATGGAAATATGTAGATAAAATGTCAATGCCCCGTTTTATGATCAAAACTAAATTTTATGTGTGCATAAGCTATTAAATTTGATATAACATATATTAATATTTATTTCTCATTGAATGTGTTTGTCATTCATCAAATTAAAAACTGACAAAGAGGGCTATTTATAGCAATATTTATGAGTTACGCGGTTTTTTATGGAATCTATTTTTTTTGTAAAACGGGGTATAGGTGTATATGCATTGGAACTTGAAGATTATTTGCAATTCTTCAAGTTCTCAGTGAATTTAATTCTGGATTTTTTTATTTGATCTAATAAATAGAATTATAGGCGTTAATATAAACTAGAAGTATTATTTATAAATTTATACGCCTTTTGTAATAATGTAAATTAATTTGGTTATACATAGCATTCAACATAATTTAGCACACACTAGATCAAATTATTTGAGAGTACTTACCAATAATCGTACATGTAAAAATTTGCCTTTAAATTCAAATCTTACTCACTCACAACATTTTATTTTAATTTATCATTATCAAATTTCTTTATAATTGATGTTATTGTTTAATAAAATATGATTTTGAATTATTTAATTAGAGTACGATATTATGATATTATGAAACTACATTATCATAATTAGTTAATTTTTTTATTATCAAGTTATGTAAGCATGGTTATCCATTCCTTAATCCCCATTAAAAAGATTTTTTTATGAATCGGAGCTTAAACATAAATTAATATCAAAGGGCAACAACAGGCGTAAAGAAGCGTATTACGTGAAAAATCGTATTAAGCATGAATATCTTAACGAAGCCCAACTTAGGGGCCGATTTTGCCGTAAAATAGACTAATGTTATGGCAAAGCTATTCTACGTGGTAGTTTTCATACAAAATCGTACTAAATACTGTCAAAATGCCGTATTTGCTGTAATATGTGCAGAATCGGCGATTCTATAAAGTAGGTAGTTCTCTTGAAAATGAGAGTGCGCTATGTTCTGAATAGATGGCTCATGTGTTTTCCAGGCAAATCATTTCAACTATTCAAAAAATCTGTTAAACTCATAAGAAAAAATTGATTCTGTTCCTCAAAAATTTGATGAAATAATAAAAGGGGTTCAAATATTTTTTATAGATGTATAAAATGTACTCAACCTAATTAATTTTTTTTAAAGCAAATGATATATAAATATTATTTCATATTTCAGTAAAAAAAACAAATTATCAGCCTAACATTATAATATATAATACTGACAATCAATAAATACATAATTTTTATTTTACACGTATAAAATTCCTCATTGAATGTTTTCTGAAGTCACATTTACTTATATAAAATACACCATTCAAAAATCATTATGCTTTTTGGTCAACTTTCTGCAACTTTTTTATATTTTGATGCAAGAGTTCACTGTACTGGCAAAATTATAATTTTTTATATAATTTATACGTTCAATTTTCATTATCATATTGGTTGTTGCTATTTAAAGTTAAGCATACAGCTTTTAATACTTGAAATCGACTCAACTCTTGGATATAAAGAAAAATCTCTCATAATTCATGTAGGATTTTCTACATTTTATAATTCATATTCAGTATAAAACTTTACACAGCTATATAGAAAATATATAGTTCATAGTAATTTAGTGGTACAAATTTCAATAAATAAAAAAATTGTAATCAATAAATTTCGTTTCATCATTCAATAATCACTTTTTATATTTGATTCTGAACAATTTGAGTAACATATTTTTCTATTTTTGCTAGAATGGTATAATGGGCATATTTGATGCAGCATCCGTGTCAACTTCATCTACAGTTTTGTCCATTTGTGACACAATGGAAATGCCTTTGATGACTGCTCGTTGGGACCCAGATCAGCGAAGACAGGCTTGTATGGTAAATGTTCATCCTCATCCTTCAGTTTTGGTGAAAGTTTTCGTAGACTTGGTCAGAGAGAAAGGATGGAAAACTTTTACCATATTGTATGAATCTGGATCATGGTTGCCGAGGATGGCGGATCTACTCAAATATTATGATAGAGATGGTAAATATCAAGTTGTAGTATCAATACTTTATTTTGCATTATTTCTCCATCTCAACACTAATCGACTAAATACCTCAATAGCAGACTCTAAAATTGTTTAAGTTGCTATAAATTGGCATGATGTCTTGATTCCACTATTTTTACCCCAGGTCATACAATAACTGTACGAGAACTTGATTTAGGGCTTAATGGTATCTACAGACCAGTTCTGAGAAGAGTTAAAAAATCTGGAGAAACAAATATGATCTTAGATTGTTCCATAGAAAAATTACCTGAAGTACTTATCCAAGCGCAACAGGTAAATTCATTTATTGTTGTATCATAAATTATGCGATTGATTATAATAATGATATTTATATATTTAGGTAGGATTAATGTCTGACCAACACCAATTTATAATTACTTCTTTAGATCTGCACACAATTGATTTAGAGCCTTTTCAACATGGAGGTACTAATATAACGGGTGTGAGAATTGTAGATCCTGATGATCCTGTTGTTAATTTCACTATTAGAAATTGGATGCTTCATGAAGAAAGAAGAGGTAAGTGTACTATATACACTAGTTTATGATGATGTGAAAATTACCAATAAATACATCATTGCTAACTTATGAGTTTTGACAAAATAACTTTTATCCAGGATATTTAATATAATGTATAAGCATACTTTTAATATGATTAATTATTAAAAATATTGTAGCCAAAATTTTGAAGGCATAAGTAGAAAATACATAGAAAACTATCACTTTGTGATAGAAAAATATTTTGAATTTTATGTATAACATCTTTTATACTTTTTGTAGGAAAATAGTATCCTGCTTTTGCAACTTTACAGGCAATATCTTTTTCATTTCATTTTATTTTATCCATCTGAACAATTTCTATTTTATTATTTCAATGATAAAAGAGCACGAGGATGTGAAAGTTTGATTGATTTTGTTGTAAAATGTTAGTGTAAAAATTGGTGAAAATAATAAAACAAAATTTTACAACTTACTAATCAAAATGTTAGAAGAGGGTTTGAAAGACAATTTAAAATTATTGTTTTGGTGTATCAATATTATTCTAATATTCACTCATATGTTTCTGATAAAATATATATTCTCTTTTAGGTAAAGTTTTGCCAGAATCATTAATGGCCAAGAATCTACGATCAGATGCTGCTCTTTTGTACGATTCGGTGATTCTGTTTACAGTTGGACTCAAACAGTTGAATAAATCTCTAACAATTACATCTAGACCTTTGGAATGTTTTATGTATGATGATGTCTGGGAAAAAGGATCTAATTTGATTACATACATGAAATTAGTGAGCAATTATTTATTACAAGATTGGCTTTTAACTTCATCAATCTTCATGCATATAATTAATTTGATTACCAATAATTTTTTGTATTTTATTCTCAATTTATTACTAATTTCAGAATCAAGCAATTGGTTTAACAAGAACCATAAAATTCGATCACGAAGGATTTCGGAAGGATTTCCTACTAGACGTAGTCGAATTAGGATCAGCCGGTCTGGTAAAAATAGGCAGTTGGAATTCTACTGAAGGACTTAATATTACTCGAGAATATGAAACACCATTAGAATATGGTGAAGATATTAGTTTGAGAAACAAATCATTCATTGTTCTTACAGCTATTGTAAGTAGTGTAATGAAATTTGAGCAAAAGTTTGTTGCAATGTTTATCATAATTGCCTCATTTTAGAGTCCTCCTTATGGTATGTTGAAAGATTCTAGTGTAAAATTAAATGGAAATGATCGATTTGAAGGATTTGGAATAGAATTGATTGATGAGCTATCTAAAATGCTTGGTTTCAACTATACTTTTCATATTCAAGAAGATGGGGTATATGGTTCTCTTAATAGACAAACTGGCGAGTGGAATGGCATGATGAAAGAACTACTGGAATATGTAAGTGTATTTACTTAAATTGCCATTATTTTTAACACTCTAAAGGAAAAGTTTGATATAGCCGAAAAATTTAATTTGCTAATTTCACATTTTCTCAATGTTTCAAATCATTCTGAATCGTTTGACACCAAAATTTGAAAAAAATGTATGAATTTTGGTAAAGAGCTATCTGACCATTTCTTTGATTTTTAAAGTAAAACTTTTTTAGGCGCGACTAGGGTGTAAATCCGTACAAATGCAACGGAAGTACGTTACGGCAGATAAGATAAGAGTCGAGTGCCAATGATTCGTCATTCGCTCTCGATGATATCATTCCTATACGGGTCGATTGTGATTAGTTGTCGTGTATGTGAATAGAGAGATCTGTCGTTGTATGCGTACCCGCATCAACTTTGTATGCGTACCGGAGTCAACGTTGTACGCGTACCGATATCAACAAGGAAATCGGCATAGATAAATAAACATTTTAAAGTTACATCGTAGTACAAATCTTGATTTAATGAAAAATTCCTGAATCAGAAGAATATTTTACCCGCAAATAATTATAATGAAAATAATAAAACAAATGCAGTATTTGCTCCGTGTATGGAACATAAGTTTATTGAAATAATTTCTATATTATTCGCAGAGTCTATAAATCTTTGAAGTTATCGAAATGGAAAATATTTTTAGGCAAAACAGATATTACAGCTTTTTAAAGAATAAGATTATATCGCCAGCGCAAAAGTAAAAAAAAAATATTATCAGTCAATGAATGCATGTTAATTTTAATTACATGAAGTTCTTCAAACACAATTATTACATGATAAGTAAAGTTGCGAAAACGATATTTGTTTAAGCGTTGTTTAACATAATCCACTGTGTGAACAAATATTATAGAAGTTATTAATCAGCAATTACTTCATTTCTCTAATGAAGATAATTACAATGACAAACCGATCATGTCATATTCGAAGTATGACTTTAATTACATTAATGTTTTTGAATATTATACATATTTTTAATGCTATTATAAATATGTAATTTATAGTTTATCACTATATAAATGTGTATAATGGTTGACGTATAATGGTACCCGCACTTTTTTTTTATTTTGGCTCATGCTTTTAACGAAAATCTTAAAATATTGACGACATTTTCAAAGAGTAGATATGAACACTAAAATGCAAATTGATATTTATGGAATCATTTTAACATTTTATTTTGTAGAGAGCTGATTTGGCGATAACAGATTTGACCGTCACATCTGATCGAGATAGTGCAGTAGATTTTACTATGCCTTTCATGAATTTAGGTAAATATTATTGAAGTGATATAAAACTGTTCTGATAAACCTTATAATATTTGTCAATGTTTTGTTTTTAAGGAATACAAATTCTATATAAGAAACCAAGACGAGAACCACCGTCACTCTTTTCCTTCATGTCACCATTTTCCAAAGAAGTGTGGCTCTATTTGGGTGCAGCTTACGTTGGCGTTTCATTATTATTTTTCATGTTAGGAAGATTATCGCCTGCAGAGTGGGAAAATCCATTTCCTTGTATTGAGGAACCTGCATTGCTATATAATCAATTTAGTTTGAAAAACTCGTTTTGGTTCACGATAGGATCTCTTCTGCAGCAAGGATCTGAAATTGCTCCAAGGTAAATAAGTAATGTAGAGAAACTGCATCAGCCAGTTAACAACTGATCATTCAATTTTTTTGAAATGCTTTCAAGAAACTAATATATGAATTGTCTTGCATCAGATAAATAGTAAAATATTTGTAATGCATGTCAAATTGCAATGGACGTTGCAAAAACTTTAGATTGTATTTACTGTTTACTCAAATCAGTTTTCATCAGTGCAAAATTAGTGATCTGATCCTGATATATTCAAAGCACATATAATATAACTTTAGGTGTTTTCATTCATATTTATTATATTTTATCATTTACCAGAGCTGCGTCTACAAGAATGGTGGCCAGTATTTGGTGGTTCTTTACCCTAATTATGGTATCTTCATACACTGCCAACTTAGCCGCTTTCTTAACAGTAGAATCCGTGTCTTCTCCAATTAATAGCGCAGAAGATTTAGCAAATCAGAAAACTATAAAATACGGTGCCAAACGCGATGGATCCACAATCAGTTTTTTTAAAGTAAGTGTCAAGAATATGATAACTAAATCATTGGATATCATGGTTTAAAAATGTATTATTGTTACAGGATGCAGAATATCCGACGTATCAGAAAATGTACCAATACATGATGGATAATCCCGATATGCTGACTTCCTCGAATCCCGAAGGAGTTGCTCGTGTGAAAAATGAGAATTATGCATTTCTCATGGAGTCAACTTCGATTGATTACATGGCTGAGAGGGAATGCGATATTACGGCAGTGGGAGGACTTCTAGATGATAAGGGATATGCAATCGCCATGAGAAAATGTATACAATTTATTAATATTTACCTGCTTATAATTTAACTATTCATAGAAAAAAATAATGCATGTGTATTTAAATAACATTGCCTTAAGGAAAGTTTCAAAATCTTACCGATATATGTAAATAAGCTACTGTGTTAATAAGAATTGGATTTAGCAATTTTTAATTTACCGAAGGAGAAGTTTGTTTTCTTCAAATAATCCGATTCGCTAATTTTATGTTTTCTCGACGTTTCAAGCCATTCTGAATCGAATGAGACCAAAATTGAAAAAAGTTTGTGTATGTGAACAGATATTTTGCCGTAAATCCACGTTTTTTTCAAAAACGGCTGGACCGATTTTAAAAATTTAAAAGCCATTCGATGTATCTGGATGAGGACTACCGTTTGTCAGTTTTGTGCAACAATCGGCCGAACCGATTCTTCATAAATCGCATAAAAGTGAAAAAAAATTGTTTACGTTTTAGCCTGCAATTCTAAATCGATTTTGAAAATTCAAAAACCGTTCGAAAGACATTGGTTAGGAATTGTGCTGGTTAGTTTTTGGTAGAGATCGGACGGGTCGTTTTCTTGTAATAAGGTGTTAAAATATTTTTTGTCGATTTTTATTATTATTTTTTTGACGGTAGATACCATAGTCTTCTAGATCATACTAAAATATTACGGCCCTACGACAACTCGTTTAGCTTTAAAAATTTGTCAAAGTTTGTTAAAATTAGTATGGTCTTTTTGGCATTTGCCAAAATTAGAACTTTCATCGACGTTTGCTCAAAAACGCCTGAAACGATTTCAGAAATTTAAAAACCATTTGATGAATCTCGATGAGAATTATCGTTTGGTGCGACGATCGGTCGAACCGTTTCTTTTTACTCTGGAAAAAAGTGTCGTTCGAAAGATATTAGTTGGGAATGATACTGATTAATTTTAGGTGAAAATCTACCAGGCCATTTTCTTGTAATTGTAATTAACTGTTGAAAAAAAAATTTAAGACGATTTTTATGAAACTTTTTTGGCGATATATATCATGGTCTTATAGAACTTATTAAAATATTACGGCTTTACGACAAGTAGTATAATTTTAAAAATTTATCAAAGTTTGAGAAAATGAGTAGCTTTTTTGACATTTGTTAATATTACAATTAGAGGATTTACTTGGTATAACGATAGTAGTACTTGGTCTTAATGAACATACTAAACCATTAAAATCCCGCGGAAACTGATTCAATCATAGAAATTGTTGATTTTTGAAAATTTGCTTCTAGAAAATACTCCGAGTAGACGTGTTCGTTCGTTTTCAATTAGTCGATTATTAACACACATCGGGAAGTTTATGTAACTTGACTCAAGGCAAAATACCAATACCAACTACTTTAAATTGTCTTAACAGAGAATTGAATTTTTTCTATCGAACCAGTAAGGAATAAATTTCCTAAATATTTTTCACGCAAATAAAAAAATGTAATTATGAAATTTTTAATGGCAGTATCTAAATATTCACTAGGTGTTAGAAAGAAATTTGATAATCTATTCTCAATAAATGGTACCACTTATCTAGATGTTTTCTTAAGTGATTTTCATTTGACTTCGAAACCATTCTGAAAAATATGTAGATATGGTCATCATAAAGTAATTAAAACTGTGTATTTTTTTTAGTTTCTCCATACAGAGATGCTCTTAGTACAGCCGTTCTTCGATTGCAGGAGCAAGGTAAACTTGCTGCAATGAAGATCAAGTGGTGGAAAGAAAAACGTGGTGGAGGTGCATGCTCTGTATGTTATACTCTTTCTTTGTTTTGTGTTCATAGCATTTAAAATAATATTTAATAATGAATATTAATGATCTACAAATATATTAGAGAAAAAAATCCATAATAGTAACATGTTTTACAAAAAAGCAGATGCCATGAGTTAACAAATTGTAGCGTAGGGAAATACATTATTGAGATAAGTTGTTTTGTGCCATTTTACTTGCATAAGTTTATAAGGCACAATGATTCGCACAAAAACAAATATTGATCAAATAATTTGTAGATTAAATATATGTTGTCTAGTAATTAGATTAACGTAGCCCAATAATTGATGTTGAAACTGTCAATGGCAACGATATCCTTACACAGTTTTAGTATTTCTATAATTTATTAGTAAATATGGATATTATTGATTGTAATTACTTTTTAAGAGTGGAGCAATGGATAAGGACAAAGCAGATGAACTTGGTCTACCTAATGTTGGTGGAGTTTTTGCAGTTTTAGTACTTGGAAGTATAGGAGCGTTTGTTGTAAATGTATTTGAGGGCCTGACTGATGCTATGAGGCGCGCCCGAAAACACAACGTAAGAATTTGTGAATTCAATATTTACTTTATCGTCGAATAGATTAACTATTAAGCTTGTTTCTATCCTTGTACTTCTTTATCATAATTATTGGGTAGATTCTGCCGCACAACAGACCAATGTTATGGCAAGGCCTTGTTACGCCCTAACTTCCATACATTATTCTACTAAATTATACTAAATACAGTCAAAATGTCATGTATTTATTGTGCGTTCAGGCGTTTTACATATAACCTGGAACGTCACTTGTATGTTATGAAGCTGAGTCAGAAAGACCATGTTATCTGAGACCGTTTTTTTTACATTTGTGCGGTTCCTAGGTTAGGTTTTCTACGTGACATCCTGAGAAAAACGCCTGACTGCACAGCTACCACATAGCTTTTGTCATTCTTTTGAACGAGTTATTATGAAAAGCAAACCATTGGTCTGTTATGTGGCAGAATTGGTCCATATATCATGATTACTTAGATTTACAAAAAAAGTTTAATTAAACAAATATTGATGCATATAAAGGGGGTCCCTGACCTTAACGTCAAGCTGACATAGGTTGATATTATTGATCTTAGCTGCCCCAAAAAAAAATTAGAAAAAAAAAATTACATTGTTTGAAATTCATGAGCATTAAGAGCAACTTAGACTTTTGGTAAAATTATGACCATTTTCTGGTTATAGAGGTCAACTTTCATTAATTTTGTTCATTTAAGCTTTAGAACCGTGACCGTAAATAACATTTCTAGGACAATAGTCAAAAATATTTTTTTTAAACCGGTTGACTTTTGAAGGGCCCTTTTTTTAAAAAAAGCACTAAAATGTGTTGGCAAATTCCTTGCTTTATATATATATCCGTCGCAGTTTTGCGTTTCAAAAATCTGTTGCACAAGTAATTTATTGAAAAAAGGACCATGAAGCGACAGAAATTATGAGTTATTATTTTAATAATATAATTCTATAATAATATAATTATAAATTATATAAATTATTGAATATCATACAGAAAACTTTCTTGATCAAAACTTTTGTTTTTTTTTTTAATTTTTCTCCGTTTTTTGCACGTTTCTCCATTTGATCCACAATTTTGACTTCACCTCGGCGGTAAAAAATATATTGGAATAAACCTATGTGTTACACCTAATACAGACTACTCTTTTATTTTGTGGATTCGTATTATTTAACAAGCGTTTAAAATAAATAATTGAAAATTGGTAGCAAAAAGAAATTATTACAAAGTTTAGATTTTAAGTATATCAACTCAAAATCCAATTAATTGTGATATTTTCCCCAGGTTTCTTTTAAAGAAGAAGTGAAGGCAGATTTTCGTTTCGTATTAAAGTGCAGTGGAAAAACGAAACCTGTTCGACACCGATCTTCATCTTCTAATTCGAGATCAGATTCCGACATGGAAGCCGATTCCATAGAGTCGATAGAATATCACAGCCCCAAAGGAAACGTTCGAGATCGACTGAATGCGTTGCCTTACGGTTTTTCTGTGGATAATGATAAGCTGCGGAACTAACAACTAACAATTTTGGTATGATTTATTATACATATATTATACTTATAATATAAGAATTTAGTAAAGACATTTTCACTTAGCTTTCTGTGATGAAAAGTGTTATCCATATGGAGTTTTGAAGTAAATTATGTGTACGCGCAATCATTTACTTATATAGAAATAAATTATTTATACTATTTATTGTTAAGGGCTTTTTAATATAGAGTAGAGCGGAGCTCAAAGGGCCGCGGGTAAAAAGGATAATCACCGATATCTAAAAAACAAGTAAAGTTAAGAATTTTTTATCAACAATATTTTAAGGTAGAGGGAAAAATGTATAACCAGCCATGAACTTGATTCTTACAACGTTGCTATCGGAAGATAAACGGCAATGTTTGAAAATCCATAACAAAAAATATTTTTCTTCGTTGTTAGTTCTTTTGGTTGGGAGCACTGTTGTTTAGTTTACAAGACCTTAATATATAACATTTAAGTATTTGTTATTGAATTGTTTCATAGGATGTACGTTAATTTTAGGTTAAATTCAACAGTTATTTTTCACAACCTCTATAGAAGTTCACACGTAGATGGGGTAAAAAGGACTATCTGAACCTATACCTCGGCAAATGTGTAAACAATGAAAAATAGTGAATAAATAAATAAGCAATTTTACACGAGATAAATTGAAATAATAGTTATTCGAACTCTGCTGATAAATATTTTTGACAAAATACCAGATCAAAGTTATATACAGTGTTGTTTCTGTGAAAAATGTATCCGTGCAAATTAGCTTATGTTGAATAATGTAGCTATTATTTCGTAAAATTTTGTTAAAAATAAGAGATTGAACTTGTTTGTCCCATGGTCGTCCCATTTTACTCCACCTGCAAGAGCAAGTGATAAATCTTTGAAAAACAGCAAAAAACATATTTCTACAATGATGAATTACCTAGGAGTTTTACTGAACGTAGTCAGATAATTGTTAGTTTGATATGTGAAATTTGCTGTGATATGCTTGATTTGGTTTCACTATCCTATTGAATATTTTATAGCCAATGTTTAGGGATGAACAATCCATTAATAATAAAATTGAGAAAGCTACATAGAACGTATTTCCATGCAAAATCGGTGCAGTTCTGTTATATAAACGGTTTCATAGGTCTCTTCAAAAAAATACTATAAACCGATTTTTAACTACACAGCTCATCATTTAGCTAACAATAAGATATGACTGAGAATATGTGAAAGTAACTATAACAGGTATAAAAAAAAAATTGGCATAGTTTCATTCATATTGCACTTGACTGTTACCCATAACAAATATGGTAAAAGAATTATATTGAGGGCATAAAAAAATTAAAATGATTTTTTATTTTTCATGTTTTGCCAAAGCGGCTGTTAGAACTACTTTTTAATTAGAATTCTTTAAAATCGTATACATATTTTCTATCTTATCCACAATTTTGTAAACAAATTGTTCGAATACTTAAGTTTTTATGTTTTGAGCATAATTGTGAGATACTATTGCACGAATACTAGGAGATAACGAAAGACGAGTACAATCGGCAAAAGAAAAAATAATTGTATGTATTTTTTCAAGTGAAAGATAATATTTTCTGAACTTGCTTAAAACTACCGAAACAGAATATGTTGTGGCGAATTTATAATTTATTAGTAGATTCGTTTTATAATGCGGTCAAATTTTATTAATTATCTTAACATTTTTTCTATAATAGCGTGGCTATTATCTTTAAAATTGTTATTTTTTATAGATGATTCTATTTGTTTATAGACGTTTATAAAATCAAATATGTAATATTTTTTTTAGATATATATTTTATGAAAACGATCATTAGTTTTAAAGAAGCATGTAGAAGTAGAAGAGCACAGCTAGGGGATAATTAGTTCATATGTGGGCTAGCCCAAACTAGTGCCGGGTTCGATGGTTCGATCCCAGCTACGGCCTAGTCCGACATCAGGCCACTTTAGGTTATAAATCTCAAATATAAACTCTGGTAAAACTTGCTTCTCATGGGTATAGCATTGATGTCACATTTCCACTTTATGTTCTAGATTTTAAACATAAAGTAAAATGAAAAGCGCTTCTCGTGGATATAATCATAAATTGTATGTATAATCATAAAAAATGTCACCAAATACTCCGATTATAGTTAATTAGACACAATTGGATTGGGCAACTATTGGGATTCCATTAATTCAAAAAACCATATGATCATCAAAACAATTACTGAGTTTCTAGTTTGACAAATTGTATCAATAAAATAAGAAGTAAGTAAAAATAGAAGTAATAAAAAACTTTACCATCTTTTTCAACCGGCTTTCTCCGGTAAACATGCGGTGACGCGTCGACCTTACGGCTTAAGCCAAGTTTTAGCAGAGCATACCGACATTGACCTGATTATGATTGAATGCATATTACATTACTCAATATTAGAATAATTATGGATTCTACTTATGACTCTACAATATAATTCAATGCTCTAAAAATAAATTTTCGGGACAATGTCAAAATTAAATTCATAACGTTTTTTAAATACAATTTTTGTTTTGATTCAAGCAGTAGTAAGTCAAGAATATCTTACGTAGTTACTAAAATTTAGCACACTCGTTGAAGAAAACATTAAACAATTGATTTTGAAACACATTTTTAAGATGCTATTTTTGGATTATACTTATTTACAGTTGGATATTATTGTTATCCAGTGTTTATTTAATTAAATTTAAGATGACAATTCAATTAATTATGTTTTTTATTTTGGAGCAATAAACATGACGCATTACCTATACAAGAAACTAGTTGTAGCCTAATTATCATTTACAAGAAAACGTCAAAATGTTAAAAAAAAATACATTTACAATTTTTAAAATTTTATCGCATTAAGAAAAATATAATATATGCCATTCAACCTGCGAAACAGGCTTCACTAATATTTCTCTTATTACGATAAAATTTTGAATCTACTAGTTTCATATTATGAAACTAGTAGATTAGAAGCCAGCGACGTTGACTTGACTTGATATAAAATCACTTACTAAATTTCGAAAACTATTCACCTCATCGATATTATATATTTTTATATAGTCGTTCTACATTTATTCGAGATTGTAAGGATTAAAAAAAATGTTGATATTCATATTCATTCATGCATTCACCAGTATCTATGACGTGTTTAATACGATGCAGTTAATTGTATTTTGTTTCAATTTAATATTTTATTTTGATAAAACATTGAAAAAAAAAAAAAAAACTGTTACAAATTCAGTAATATTACGTTTCCCTATAAAATTATTCACAGTATATCGAAAACTATTCACCGTGCCCATGTTTTTAAGCACTTTTAAATTTAACGCAAATAAAATACAAGGATCTCTTCATGCATTTTATATCAAATACATATTATAAATTGTTGCATTTCCATATCGAGTTTGTTAGCGCGGCGCCAACGACCTGATTCGCAATTTTATATTAAAATCGTACGAAGCAGCGACAGTGTCCATATAAATTATGAGCATTGTAAAATATTCACCGTATTGATATTATGTTTTAAATAAAATAGTTCTACATTTAATGAAGGATACAACTTTGTCCAGTAATGGGTCGTTCATTATTCACGTGAGGTTTAAAGTGGGGAATGGTTTGATGAAAAATTACAAAATATCACATCGGGGAGGGAGGGTGTAGTGAAATTTCACGTGTATTTTACGTAGATTTTACCTGAATTAACAAAAAAAATCCAAAATTTTTCCAAAAAATCTAGATCTAAAATTAAAAAATAAATTTCTAGATCTAAAAATACACGTGATGTTGGTTGGGTAACGGGGGTAATTTTAAATACCTCTACGTATCACCAAGAAGGAGGGGGATATTCCAAAAATCTTTAAAAATCGATCACGTAGATCAATGGATGCCCCCTATTAAGTGCTAATACAATGCACTAAATTGTGTTGTTCTTCATTTGAATGTTGTAATATTTTAATAATAAACATTGATTTTTATTGTAAGATTATTGTAAATGATTTTTTCATGTTGTTAAGAATTTTAGCAAAACTATTGTATATTTTTGTGTTTGGGTGTTACACACTTATTTATCGATGTTAAAAAAAATTCATAAATCAACAACTGTCATATTCTGGCTTAAAGCCGAGTTTATTTTCAGACGCCCTTTAGACACAAATATTTTGTCATATCCGAGCATCATCTCTCGAATCAAGCAACTGAATTCGTTCCTCCAACAAAATCGCGGCAATAAATTCATCCAAATACAATTGTTTGATGCAAAACTGTGACATTGTTGAAGAATCGGTGCAATGTGTGCATTTGTCACATAAGTGTTCTATTTATTTCGAATTTATATATAGATAGTGTTCGAGCAACGGTGCTGGCCTGTGACGCGATCTAACAAGTAGTAATAAAATGAAATGATGTAAACCGAGAACAAATGTTACTGTGGAACCGTCAAATACAATAAACAAACGCCGTGAAAATACATGTTAATCGCAGTTCAAAATAAACATGCTGAGTTGTAAAGCGTGGGCTGTGATATTAAGTGCACTGTTCCATATAGTGAATGTGAAATGTGAGCCAAAGGAAGTATTAAAAATCGGTAAGCATTTATTTATTAAGTATTGATTGAACATTGAGAGCAAAAATATCAAAGATTTTACTCCACATTCTCTGTTTTGTATCACATTGACCGGAGTGAAACTGAACTGCTAGAACATTTCTTGGATTCAACCAGAATAACAAGACATGATTTTTGCTGGCGACAATTCAAAATAACTTAAATGTTATAAATATATTTGAAATGTTCCAATTCCAATTCAAAACATTACTGATAAAATAA